AGCCTCTATTTAAAATACCCTTGATAGAAAAATAAAATAAGCTTCCAGACCTTCTCTTCTCAACTCCAACCACCCCGGCCTTCTCCTTTTCTTCCCTTTTCTATCCTTCCTCCTTCCACTCACGCCAGCCACACCCAAGCCAACTGCAGCTGTCCCAATCTTCCCCTTCCCAGTCAAGCTCCTGCAAGCACTCTCAGGCTGTCCCCGCTACATATTCAACTTGGTATATATTGAAAATATTAAGAATTATATTTGTTTAATGTAGACAAAAGGAGAATATTACTGGAAGAAGAGAGGACCAAGAAATATATTACCAACCAACATATTGATTAATTGTAGAAATTAATTATTATTGTGTTAAATATATGAACCCAGACAACACACTGTTCACGAAGCACTAAAGATTATTATTGTAAAAAAATAATAAAATATATTTTTTTAAAAAAGATTACATGCTCAGCATTACAAGACAAGATAGAAAGACCCGCACATGGATTAGAGAACAAACGAAAGTATATGATATCATCAAGAGAGTAAAATAATTGAAATGGAAATGGGTTGGTCCCATAGCATGAAGAACTGACCAAGGCAGCCATAGAATGGATCCCAATTGATAAAAAGCGTCCATGAAAGAGACGTAAAACAAGATGGAGTGACGACATCAGCAAGTATTGCGGGCCCAATTGGCAAAAGAAAGCTCAGGGCCGTATTGGTTGGAGACATCGGAAGAGGCCTTCATCCTGCAAGTGGATAGATAATGGCTAAAATGATAATGTCTCATATATTGGTTACTGTTTATTTTCCTCTATGAAGTATAAGTTAAGCTCCTGTTTTAAAGTTAATACTAGTGAAGAAAGATAAGGCATTTGTTATTGTGAATGTTTTGTGTTCCAAATTATGGAGATTTTGTGGCATTGATTGTGGCACTTGCAGACTAGGGGAGATGAGTCATTTATTTATAATATATAGATCTCTGGGTATAAGATAGATTTGTGTTCTTTTAATTCTTTTTCTAGAAAAGGTTATTTTTAGATCATTCCAATTTTTAGTTTTAAATAGAAATAATGAAAAGTTGCATGGTATCCTTTTATGGCGTTCACCAGAACAATCCTACCATGTTTCCCCCAAAATAAGACTGGGTCTTTTTTTTTTTTTTGCTCCTCCAAAAGAAGCACCAGGTTTTATTTTCGTGGAATGTCTTTTATATTCACCTCTGGCACCAACAGCCCCACCCAGCTGGTCCACTTCTTCTGTGGCCGAAGGAGCAGCTTCATTCTGCAGGTGGGAATGGAGCTCCGGCCTGCATTTTGCTGCCTTGGAAAATTGATGGAAAAGTCAGCCAAGATGGCTTCATTCCTCATGGAGGGGGCAGTAAGGTAGCCACAGATTGGGCCATGCAGCTTTGAAATATGCATGTTCAGATCTATTTGCTGTGAACTATAGCTGTTTAAAAGAGGAGGAAAATATGACCTCAGGCTATTAAAATTGTGGCAAGCATAAAAAAACTTTGTTTTACATAGAACCATTATATTAAAAAGAGAGAATATATATAAAAATAAATGGCGACTCATAGTGATCTGTTGTAAATGCAGTCTTTACAGCACAGAAGGCTGATTTGGAAATTGAGTTAATTACTAGTATTCTATTATGATAATTCTAATGAATAATTTTTATATAGGATTTTTCTGTTCTTTATAGATTACAGCCCATATGGAACACACAGTGCATGGGGAGGTTCACCATATTCACCCCATCAAACTGTACCTTCTCAGGGCCGGCTTGGTGACAGGTAGGGGATTTGAATTTGCATGTGCTATACATATTTTAAGTTTTCTCAATTAAACTGAGAAGCAAGAACAACAACAAAACTTTTCCCCCTTCCAAACAATTATCTATCCCAAAAGGGAGAGATTATCTATGACAGATATTGCTAACCATGGAAAACCTTTGCCATCATCTGAGAGAGAACAGCAGCTTCGTCTTGAACTGCAGCAGTTAAACCATCAGATAAGTCAGCAGACACGAGGACTTGAGGTATGTATTCTTAGTTCTGTACTTTTTCTTAGAAAGAACTAGAGAAATGAAAAGGGGAGAGAGGCAGAGAACTGTAAATAGATTTTTATATTGCATTCAAATGATTCAGAATGAAGAACTCGCCACTGTTCAGTCATTTTGAATGTGATTTTAAAATGACAGTAGTAGGGAAGAAATGGCTGGTACCATTGACTTCTGTATTCATTTGCATATAATATTTGTTCTTCTCCATACCCTTCCACACATGTTCACAAACGTGAGATCCATAAATCTTATGTAATGGAAATCAGTATTGTTCTGTTTTACTTCACTTTATAGTGTTCTTTTTTTTCCTAAATAGCAGATGAGATGATAGCTATACATAATTTATTGAGAACTTATGTAGAAAGTTTACTTCTTGAGTTGAAAATTTAAATTTATGATAGCATAATGGACAGTAATGTTGACTATAACCTGTATTCATCCCAGAATATCTGTGTTTTCGCAAAAGACAGCATGAGCTAGATTATGGTGAATTACTTTACTAATGAGCACCTAGAATTATACCTGGAAGCCAACTGGTAGCCTGTGGAGCAGTGGATATCAATGCACATACCACAACATCCCTTATTGCCTAGGTTGCTGCATTCTGAACCAACTGTAGCTTCTGGGTGGTCGTCAAGGGCAGCCCTGTGTAGAATGCATTGCAGTCATTTATTTACAAAGTATCTAGGTCATGAGTGACCATATGGAGATTTTAAATTCTTGTGTTGCTGTTAAAGACAACACAAGTTGTGCTTAGTTTGTGCATGCTGTGTTTGCTGGTGCTTAATGGAGGAGTATTGGATGGCTTGAAAATGCCCACCTTGATATTAGTCTTCTTTATTATCATTAATTTTTTCTTTTAAAAATATATTTCAATTCATCTTATAAAAAAGGAGGAAAGCGCAAAACACTAACACCAGGAGAAGGGCGGGATATAAATACAATGTTAGCCACTAGGCCACAGGCTCTTTCTCACTTTGTTAGCTACAAGAGACAGGGGAAGAGGATGAATGCTTTTTTCTTTTAGAGCACCCTGTGGGCCCAAATATGGGAAAGAGAAGTATATATATTCATCATATACTTAAATTGTTAATTTTTAATCAAATTACTTGTTATAAGAGAATTATATATTTATTATATTTCCTATTTCTGAACCGCCCATCTTCCTCAATGAAACACATTAGTGTTGCAATAGTTCATTCTCTAAGAACTTGATGCTGTCATGCAAAGTCAAGGAAAGATGTAAGCCCCAAGGCTTAAGTCTTCAGTTTTTACTCCTGACACTTGTTATAATACACTGTTTGCAGTTTGTTTATCATTCTGATTGGTTAATTACACCTGATCTCTGTCTTGTCAATTGCAGCCTATAAATACAAAAACTTGTATATAGGTAGTCCTGTACTTAGAATCATAATTGAGTCTGGTATTGTGGTCGTAAGTCATGGCAGTTATTAAATGAGTCACCACATGACCATGACTGATTTTATAGCAGCAGTCATTGAGCGAATCTGTTTTCCCCAATGGACATTTTTTGTCAGAAATTGGCTGAACACTAAAAATTGTGGCCAGATGACTGCAAGATGCTGCAAATGGCCATAAATGTGAGCCGGTGGCCAAGTGCCCAAAATGCAATCATGTGATCATGAGGGTGGCTTCAGAACTTTGAAAATAAGTTCTGGGGCAGTCTGTCATAATTTCGAATGGTTGTTAAATGACCGGTCATTAAGCAAAGAGTACTGTATGCAAGTCAGATTTCCTAACAGTGGTGTAAATCAGGATTATCAGCAAAAAAAAATTAGAAATATAGAAAAAGATAAAATTTTGTAGATCATTGTAGAGTTGATAGAAATACTATATTGGAGTACTGATATTTTTAATCATTAAAAAGTGTATATTATCATCTTCATATTTTCTAAATTATTGCAGTTCATTTTAATGAAGAATGAAATCAGTGAATTTTCCAAGACAAAATTAATTAACAACATAACATATTACATCAAAATGGTCTTACCCTGGATAGACGACTTCTTAATCATTTCCTCCCTATATTCTAGAATATTTAATTTAATGTACCATTTTCTAGCAATATTTACAATATTTTAAAAACTACATTCTATACAGGTTCTCTAATAAAAGGATTGTCTGGATATTTTTATTTTTGGATTCCCCAGAATTCTCAATTTATTATGTTAATGACATTTAAATTAGTATGCCTTACTATACAGTAATTATTATCTATGTATTATAGTACTATGTTATCTACCAGATCAGATTTTCTAGACACAGACATTTTAAAATTATATATTATATCAGAGTTCCCCAACCTTTCTGGCTTTACGAACTGGAGGGGGGAGAGGAGATGGTTTCTCACGAGCAGCTGTAACATATGCACAGCTCCATTTGCGTGAACAGTGTGTACGTGCGTCTACCGCTCATGCAAATGGAGCACACGCGTATGTGCTTGCTGCTGAAGCAAATGAGGACGTGCGCCTGCCATTTCCACAGCCCAATTGCAAACAGCTCAAGGCCCACTGCTGACTTTGTAGTTTGCCCACTGACAAAGAAATGACCAGTCTATAATTGTAATGGTAGGTTTATTTTAACAGTGAGAGACAGAATAACAACAAGAAAAAATCCAGAAAAACGCATTACAAAAAAGTTATAAATTGATTTGCATTTTAATGAGTGAAATAAGTATTTGATTCCCTATCAATCAGCAAGATTTCTGGCTCCCAGGTGTCTTTTATAAAGGTAATGAGCTGAGATTAGGAGCACTCTCTTAAAGGGAGGGCTCCTAATCTCAGCTTGTTACCTGTATAAAAGACACCTGTCCACAGAAGCAATCAATCAAGACAATCGCCAAGCAGCTTGGTGAGAAGGTGACAACAGTTGGTGCGATTATTCGCAAATGGAAGAAACATAAAATAACTGTCAATCTCCCTCTGTCGGGCTCCATGCAAGATCTCACCTTGTGGAGTTTCAGTGATCATGACAATGGTGAAGAATCAGCCCAGAACTACACAGAAGGATCTTGTCAATGATCTCAAGGCAGCTGGGACCATAGTCACTAAGAAAACAATTGGTAAAACATTACGCCATGAAGGACTGAAATCCTGCAGCGCCCGCAAGGTCCCCCTGCTGAAGAAAGCATATGTACAGGCCCGTCTGAAGTTTGCCAATGAACATCTGAATGATTCATTCAAATGACAAACGGAGAAAGCGGAACTATTTAACTTGTTTTTTGCATCCGTCTTTACACAAAGGCAAAAAACAGCCCAACCTATTAAAAACTACCGTAAAAAACAGATTAGAAACATAAGATAGGGAAGAAAATGGTAAGTGAGCACCTGTCCAGTCTAGATAAGTTCAAATCACCAGGACCAGATGGTTTACATCCTAAGGTTCTGAAGGAACTGGCAGATGTGATCTCAGAACCACTGTACTATATCTTTCAAAGATCCTGGAGCACTGGGGAACTACCGGAGGACTGGAAAAGAGCTGATGTAGTTCCCATCTTGAAAAAAGGAAAAAAAATGGATCCAGGAAATTACAGACCTATCAGCCTGACCTCAATACCTGGGAAAATTCTGGAAAAGATAAACAACGAATCAGCGAACACCTAGTGTCAAAGTCATTACCAAAAGCCTACATGGGTTTGTCAAAAACAGATCATGCCAGACAAATCTTATCGCATTCTTTGACCAAATGACAAAATTAGTGGACCAGACGAATGCTGTGGATATAATTTATTTGAACTTCAGTAAGGCATTTGATAAAGTAAATCACAATCTTCTACTTGATAAGATAGAAAAGTGTGGGTTAGACAGCATCATCCACCAGATGGATTCGTAGCTGGCTGACCGGCCGGCCGTACTCAGCGTGTAGTCCTCAATGGAACTGCATCTACATTGAGGGAAGTGAGTAGTGGGGTGCCCCAGGGCTCTGTCCTAGGCCCAGTGCTCTTCAACATCTTCATCAATGATTTGGATGAGGGGATAGATGGGGAACTCATCAAATTTGCAGACGACACCAAGCTGGGAGGAATAGCCAACACTCCAGAAAACAGGCTTAAGATACAGAAGGATCTTGACAGACTTGAACATTGGGCACTATCTAACAAAATGAAATTCAGTGGTGAAAAAAGTAAGGTTCTACATTTAGGCAAGAAAAAACAAATGCACAGGTATAGTTTACCTTGCTCAATAGTAGTAACTGTGAGAGGGATCTTGGAGTCCTAGTGGACAATCACTTAAATATGAACCAGCAGTGTGCTGCAGCTGCGAAAAAAGCCAACACACTGTCAGGAAGTTTCTCCTTAGTTCTAGGTTGCTTCTCTCTTTGGTTAGCTTCCACCCGTTGCTTCTTGTCCTGCCTTCAGGCGCTTTGGAAAATAGCTTGACTCCCTCTTCTTTGTGGCAGCCCCTGAGATATTGGAACACTGCTATCATGTTCCCCCTCATCCTTCTCTTTGTTAAACTAGACATACCCAATTCCAGCAACCGTTCCTTATATGTTTTAGCCTCCAGTCCCCTAATCATCTTTGTTGCTCTTCTCTGTACTCTTTCTAGAGTCTCAACATCTTTTTTACATCGTGGTGACCAAAACTGGATGCAGTATTCCAAGTGTGGCCTTACCAAGGCATTGTAAAGT